GGCATATTTATGGCTTTTAAACATTGTTTTCCTGAGTGACACTGAATGCATTTGACTTGGGAGTCTGAAAAATTCTTCACAATCTACTTTACCTTTGTGTTCACCACCAAAAAGTGGGAGGATTTAATAACCTATCCCCCACTTTAAAAAGGTGGAGGTATATAAATCTCCCCTCCCCCTCCCCCGGGATTTACGTCCATGAAGTGGAGGCATCTCCTGATAAACTCAGCTTGAGTTGACAGTGTCATAAAAGCCATGTAGAAAAGGGAACAACAGCCCGTTCCCACTTGATCCACCAATTGGGGGATTTGATCCACCTTTTGTCAAATCGCCGGATCAGATCCCCCGATTGGGGGGTCAGATCCGGCAATTGTGTGTAGTGGGAACGCTAACCGTTATAAGGTGGATCAGGATCAGATCCACCTTTCTTGATCCTCCTCTGGAGTAGGAGACAGATCCCCCAATTGGTGGATCAGATCCTGCAACTGGCGGGTCACGATCAGATGGGAATGCAAAAGGTGGATCTGATCCAGCAATTTGACCTGTCAACATCCGTCCGTGCACGAGTGGTGTCAAACTTTTGCAGTCTGATGAACAAAAAAATGTTTTTTAGCATGTAGCTCATGTGAAATTTTTAACGTCCACACCATGCGCAATAAACAACTGCTGAATTACGGGCTAGCAAAATGTGTCACCACTCATGCGCGACGCATGCATGCCGCAATGTGTACTTAGCCCTTTCACAATTTTCGTTGCGCATTCATCCATTTCTTAACCTTTTCCAGTAGTGCAATTTCACTTGCTCTCCATCAAAAACTAATTCCGTGTTAGCGTATAGCCCGCAGCGTGTGACAGAGTATCAAAAACGGAAGCAAAGTTTGAAGAGACAACAGGGCTTCATTTTAATAAATACGAGGAGACCTAAAAATCGCTCTCCTTAATTCACTTTGTTGATTTAAGGAGAGCAATTAAAAATTGCTCTCCTTAAATCAACAAAGTGAATTAAGGGGAGCGATTTGCTCTCGCTAACAAAAACCAAGTTGATGTAAACATACTCAATAAAATTAACACAATTGAACTTCTTTTACTGAGTTCAATGAGTTAACTTTAATCAGTTAAAACATCTCTCTTCTTACTTCATATATAGTGAAAATTCGCAGATCGCATTTTCCCCACTTTTTTTACCTGACGGAGCTTGCTGAAATTTCGTCCAAATGTTCCTTATGCCAAAAGTCAGTCAACGCACTGGTTATGAATCGGTAAACATTTCCACAGTTCCTGTGCGCAAACTCGCTCAATCCATGGCATCTACTGCATGTTCGCAGGCGTGCATGTGGGTCCATCATGTAGTCTTTCATCGTACGTTGGTTTGGTGGGCATGGATGCATAACTTGACTAGTCTCCTCCCTCGCCCGACAATCCATTTCGCCGCTACAGGGGCTCTGAATTTACTGCGCATGTGCATCCTTTCTTTTTGATATTTTAAAATGTATTGCACGTCCACTGCAGTTTGTATTCATCACCCCTTCCTGGACTCACAATACTACTTCGACCAGTGCATTTTCATATAGAACACCGGGCACATTACCTGCCAGAGACTTTTTTCTTTCCTGTGGCATACTTTCTTTCTCGAACCACACGAACACGTGCATCCATGGAATTCCATAGGCTCGCCAACATGCACTTGGCCCGCCCACATGGACGACCACGTTTGTGTGTTGCGATGCGGGATTCATCAAGCACACGCGCACAACTCAAAGACTTTGATCACCAGCCCTTGCGTTTGAATACATTTAATCTTTGGACTCATTTGCTCCTGTTGATCCAACGAGATTCAAGGGGCTTGTCATAAATCAACATTCGCTGGTTTGAAAAAACCATGCACTCCTTAAATTTTTAAGGAGCGCTTTTTTGGCTCTCCTCGGAAAACATTAAGGAGCGCAATCGCGCTCCTTTAAAATGAAGCCCTGAGAAAACGTACTAGGCTGAACATTCGGTCCGATTCAAGGTTGTCACGTCAGAACTCCACACCCAAAACACCACAGATTCACAAGCTTGCCGCCCCAGTACGCAACACTGCCACAGAGCGCGCACTCAGCAAGCTAGCACATGCATAATACCGAACTAAGTGACCTCTTGGGCTCGACATTTCTGTCTGAAAAGGTTGATCAATCGTAAGTGAGAACGCGACTTGCGGTTTTGTTGCGGTAAGATAACGACCACACCAAAATGCCGGATCAAGATGCACCTTTCCCCAATTGAAGTGGGAACATGCTGCAAGAGTGGGTACTGGAGATATAATATAAAGGAAGGCAATTTATATTATGCCACAAAGAAACTTGTGAATCCAAATATGCATATCAAGATCCTAGATCCCTGCATTAACTTGCAAACAGACTCTTGCAAACATCACACCACTGATTACAGCTCCAGCACTGGGTTTTCCCTGGCTTGGCAGACCAACCCCTACTGGGAGTAGACAGATTCATGAGTGATGACAGGTAATTACCAGGCAGGACAAGTGTGAATGTCTCTCATCCAAAGTGAAGAGAATTTATGTCATTATCATTCGTCAAATATGCATTGCATCTCTGTTGGAACCCCCTCTGGAACTGAACTTGAGTTCCATAAATCATCAGCTGCACAAGGCACTGGACTCTGATCCAAATGCTGAAGGATGGGGATTGAGTACAATGAGCATAAGGATGATTACCAGCCAGGATCCTGCCTGGGCAATCATGATTGAAAGAATGAATCATCCAATTTTTTATAAGGGAATAAATGTGTGGCAGAGCGTCTATAAACTGGTTGTTTATAAATGCGGCTTGGGCCATTATTAGCATGCAGACCCCTCGCCAGTTATAAATCACAAGTTTATACACAATCTACCACACTCTTATTCCCATTCGTAAACACCTTTTTGTACAAAAAAAAGGTCCCAAAGTTGCAGAAAGAGACAAAAATACAAACAGTTTCGTTCAGCAATCTTGCTTCATAATTGCTATCCATGATCGGGGCCTTTCATCAAAACGTAAAATGGCATATTTGCTGTTCGATATCTGAAGCGGGCAAAAATTAAACTTGAAAGATTTTGTTTCTTTTCAGTAGCATTTATATCAAATGCAACATTCCATGAATAAACACAAGAAAATAAATCACAATGGATAAACATTTCCTTTTAATCATATCCGCCTACTTGTATTGCTTTCTCCAAAAGTACGCCCTCTGGAATAATGACTTAAATGTGTCTGTGCCTGCATGTGTGATCGTAACAAGGGACGTGTGCGCCATGGTATGTGTGAGTGGAACCTGGATGGCCACTTTGTAGGCCTTAAGGCCTAAGTGCATGAATTCTTCAAAACAGTTAGCCTTGACCTACATGTAGGCACTGGGTGAGTCTGGCCTACTGCATGTACAGTGCATGCACCTGTTCACGACAGTCTAGCCCACACATACATGTGCGTGCCCCTATACCGCTTTCGTTGCGCAAATGCACGCTACGCCCACTAATGTGTCCATACCCGAGACCAGAGTGTAACCCAACACCTTGATGGTTTTGTCCCAAGCCAGCAAAACTAATTACAGTAATGTGATGCAACCCATGGCAAAAACCGCATTCCATTGGTCAGTGGCACTGGCCATGTTTAATAAAAAGTTGTACCATTCGCAAAGGAATGCTGCAATGGTGGACTATTATCATGGGTGAAAACCTTTAATTTCTCAGTTTCTACCATTGCACTGGGGGCTCCCCAAAAAATCTTCATCTAAATGTTGTCATGATGTGGTCAAAATCTGAATGAAATACTGGTTAAGACAATAAATGTCAGAAAAGTTACAGTCATTCACCCTCGCAACCGTTTTGTGATTCGACACATGCAGTCTTATGATCTACTTGTTGTCGCATGTTAATCAAGAGGTAGTAATTGGTCCATAAAACTGAACCATTCATATTCTTGGAAAGCTTGCTTTATGTGATTGGCTTTAAGGTAAGTTGTTAATATTCATACCCAGCATACCTGAATAATATCCCAAGGCCCCCAAACTTGTCCAAAACTGGACGAAAAAAATTAAGAAATTAAACCCAGAAATAACAGACCCAACAAGGCGGTCTTTCGGTTGAACAGGCCATGCATGACACATACACATACATGTACGCACACATGCACGTGCATATGTATGCGAATGCATTGCAGACATGTATGTACACGTACATGTACGTGTACATGAACACTGTACAGTAAAACAGATGTTCATTGTGTCTGTCTTGCATAGCTTGCTCTGTGGATTTGCCATAGTACTAATCCGTAGACGGGTTGGTGTGCCGTGACAGTACCCTGTGAATCATTTGCTGTGGGTCCCCAGCGTCAGACCCAATAATTTCCCCTCAACAAAAAGCACTGAGATTGCCTTGGACAAGGCTACAACACAGTTTGCATGTAAGGCCGTAAGATCTAAAATTTACTCACATAAAGTTCATGTAAGAGTCATTTGAAAGCTTTACTTCATATATTTATGAACATTAAAACCCACCCATTTTCGGGGAAACAATGAGTTTGTTTGATAGAAAATTCTGCTGCAAGCAGAAATATGACGTGTTAGAATTATGCGTAAGTGAATATTCTTGTATCCAGGTTTCTGGGCCCATTTTTTACACAGTGGGCATATTTTCAAATCACAGTGGGCATTATCAAATGTTTATACACAGTAACGTGAGGTGTTTGACCAACAGGAAGAGAAACTGTCCCGAGTGTTAATGAAACTTTGAGGAAGTGCATGTAGTTTCTTGCAGGACGGGTTTACACGTACTCAGTAATCCCCTGGCTGTCTATGTCAGGTGATATCAAGTCAGAGTCCCCAGCCACTTGGTTCCAGTCTGTGTGCCAGTCAAGCATCAAGCTAGAACAAACCTCAAGACCACTGGGTGTTTAGGGGTGCTTGAGGCACGGTGACACTTGTCAAAAAAGCCAACAGAAGAGAAATGAAAATCCAGACAGACTTACATCGTAAGGGATGTGAAACTTGTTGATGAGGTTGCACTCCTCAAACATGCAGATGGAGGCCTGTAGTGTCTCGTCCTCCTCCAAGGAGAAGTCATTGAAGGTAAAGTTGTGCAGGTTCAACTTGTCTGAGCTCTCCACCGGGCCGGCTTGCTGCAAAGGAAGACAAGGGAGTGGGGAAAGGACAGATAATAAGGATAGAATGTGAAGATGTCCTTTACATAGCTAACATCTCCAATATAATTTCTTCTGATGTTCTTATATTTCTCATAGTTGAAATGAAATTTGAAGTCATCTGGGAACTTGAGGTATTTAATGCAGTTATCTATGATTTTATCAACAAGTTTGTGAAGCAATGTTTGAAATCGGGCCTTTTCAAGTGGTTCAAAATAAGAAAGCTTTCTTGACATTCCTGGACATGTTCACGCAGACATCTGCATGATACTGCAGAGGTAACAGCCCAATTGTACTTCAGTCACGTACACCCAAATCACATCAATCTAATCAGGTTTGGAACCCATGAAAGGCTTCAAGGTTGTTGTCGCTAGGTCAATGCTAGAAAGTGTATGTCAGAGTCAAGGCAGAGTTTGACAGTCATCTCTGTTCATTTAATTATGACAAAATGAAAGCGTTGTCCATAAAACGAGCTAGCAAAGATGGTTCATCTGAAAGCAATACAATTTCATTATGCATCCAATTTGCTGGCATGATAACATAAATTGCCTGATGATGAAACCAGGCAGAAAGCCTTTCATGCCAAAACTTAAAAACACTAAAAACTAGCCAAATTTACGCGGGGACTATACATTTCAATACTGAGTCAAAATTTCTGAATTATGTTAATAAGTGAAAAGTTATCAATTAAATTGAACAAATTTGATAAATTTGCAAAATTTCATGAAAGATGCATTGTAAGTTGTATTTCAGATGAAACTATGCTTGTCTGTTCAAACAATTAAGCAGCATCAATAAAATCTGCAACGTTTCTTGATTTTGTTGTTTTGATGTTGTTTTCTTATGGAAAACAAAGTTGGTTTCGTTTGAATCCATAATTTTACGAGAGCCACAAAAAGGTTCTACAAACTCAGCTCCCCAGTCCTAAGGTAAGGGGTGTGACAGCTGAATAAAGCCCAATCACGTGACTGGTGGGTCGTCAATCATGCATCATGAAATTATCATAATCAAAATTGATCGTTTGATTACTCCCCATTAAATACACTGCCGTTCTGCCTAATCTCGCAGTAAACACAACCACAGCTCTTTACACCTTGTAATAATCCTAATGTTTATCCTACATGTATACATCACACAATAGGCATAATTACGGCTCTTCACACAAACATGATTTCTTGTGATACCAATAAAGCAACACAATTCTTCTGTCTGACGAGGATTTATTAAGGTATTGTTTACATTTATTAAGGTATTCTTACAGTGGTAAGAATTATTTCATGAGGTTACAGACTGAACGCTCCACACCGATTGGCTTTGCCTTGTAGAATACAGCACTCAATCTGTCCCATCATGAATTCATCTAAGTTACAACTGCACTCATACACATTCATTATTTGTGTATCTATCTTTGTCATAGAGCTGCATAATTCCCTAATCTTTCCTACCTCCTTGGACACAGTGTTTTTGGAAGAATGTTAAGGATTTGTAAAGAACTTGAGTAATTTAAAGTTTCATACATGTAAGTCATGTCAATTAAGTGGAGTGCAGTCACTGCCCTCGTCTTACTTCCTCCAGCTGCTCTTACATGTACATGTAGGTGGGTGGAAGTTTGTTCTGCACCGAGGTCCGACCATATTCCTGACCAGTAAAATGGACATTGGAATTTTCTGCCAGAATTAAAAGTAGAGGAATTTCGTCCCTCATTGAATTCTGACCTTCAATCTGCTAGGGCGTGGACAGGGCACACTGCTCACTGGCAAAACCAAGTCTCCTGACGGTCAGGCTTTATGAGTGCCCGCAGACCACCCATCCCATCCTAGGCAGTGCTGTGCCTGGTGGTGTCTGGTTGTGCCTGGTTTTAACCATCGTTGACCTGCTGTCTGCTGGGACTCAAGTGGAGGTATGGCGCCGTACCCACCAGTGCCACACCTTCCAGCCACATCCTATCCACTAATCCACAAGCCAGTTCCGTCTGTTTGTTCATCCGCCGTCCAACCGTAAACATCGCAAATGTCAGATGTTGGAGGTCACCACTCAAGATCATCAGCCAAAACCAAGAACCCTTTCAGCTTCTGAACTTTCCAACCCTAGCAAACTCAAGATCAGGATTCCACCCATGGAGGTACCTCCCTCTCACAATGGCTACTTTATGTGATTTACCTAATTTATGATGTATAATTCTTTTCCTTCCCAATGGTTCATTTAGCTTGATAAGCATGAGTATTCTGTATATTAAAATATTTCTGATTTCTTTCTGCTAAAAAACTGCTTAATTCTGATTCTTACTGATTCCTGCCTTCCTTTTCCCATAACTTTACTTTTGTCTATTATGTTATCTTCTGGGATTTCAGGTGACTTCGTAACGGGATTAAAGACAGTTCTTTTCGAGGGTTGAAAGTACTTCTATTTTTACTTAAACACAAGGATTGATGCCCCATGAAAGTAAGAGTATAAGAAACAGGACTGTGGCATTGGTTTATGTACACGTACAATGCTGGATTTTTGGAGGATTTAGAATGTTTCCTGGAAAATATGCCTCAGGAGCAAGGGTTAACACTAAAAGAAAAACTCAAAATGTAAAAACATCTAAGCGTAGCTCGACCATTTCTGGCCAGGCTTTCTTGCATGCGAACATCATTATGAGATGCCGGATATCAAAAGGCAAAACCAACTTCCTGATTAGGAGAAGACCAGAAGTATCAAAATTTCACCTACCTTGAGTTTCTCTACTTCATCCTGCTGTGCTGTCGCATGATAGGACAAGACCTCTAGCGCTACCTGTTGTTTGGCCATCAGCTTGACAGCACTCTCATACATCTGTGTGTTGTGGATGCCCAGTCCACAGAAGATGGCAAAAGCCTAAAGGAAAAAAAAAAACCATAAACTGGTAAAGTACATCAGCCTACAAACATATAGACAGGAGCATTGTTTTTGTCCACAACAATTCCTAAATCCTGTATACAGTACGTCTTCCACTTGCTTCAACGAGGATTGCCTTGAAAGCCTTGTCTTGTCTGCAACATCAGTCATATTTTGGTCAGTTTATTGCATTAATATACACAAAACTACCACTGACCATTGTTAGTAATGTAGCTTAGCTCATCTGTCAAAACACAAGTATGATCAAAAGTTATAGGGATGAACAACAAAGGAATGGCTTTATCACTGTTCATTTGCACAACTGGTGACATAGTTGAGACTGAAGGAATTCTAATTGATATGATGGACTTGTGCGAATTTGAGAACAACAACGGCAAATTTCTTGTTAGTACGACCATAAATTCATATTCTCTTTGAATAAAAAAAATTTAATGATGCATGTTCCCTGAAAAGCCTTTAACACTTCGAAAAAACAATCAATTGTGATTTGCTGTACACCTAACTGACGGCTAAAATGGGAGGGAAGGGCATACTAAATAGCCAAATGATGTAGCAGTGTACCAAACCACATGATCACTGTAAATTTCAGGGAACCTCCCCCCCATGGCAGAAGCACTGCGCTACATTTCGCAACCCTTCAGTAATACCAACAATAGCCAATTATTTTGCACAGTACCTCGCACAAAGGTTCAGCTATTACCAAGAGATTTCTTGAGTGTGCAGTGATCTTTAGCTCCTCTTCATACACTACATGCACATACAGTGCACGTACATGTGTCAGGCATGCATTCATAATCTTGAGCGTCTTCAGAATTTGCTTTATGCAAGATTTCAAGACAGCAATAATTATTGACAAATCAAGCACACATGAGCCAGGACTGTGGTCTTATCGCGGATATGCCCGAGAGCATCTGAAGCACCCTGTCTGCAAACACACTGCAGATTATTAACCACCGGCTGACTGGAATGTGACCAGACACCAGCAGGCTCTCATATGAGCAGCTCTTTGCAGACAGCTCAAGGAGATGAGCAAACTTTATACCTAGGAGTTAAACAGAGCAAAATGAGGAGAAGAACAGTGACAAGAGGGTGAGCACAGATAGTGGCAATCAAAGCACAATGAGGAACTACGAGTGCTGCAGCTTCACGTTTAATCTAACAACTGAGTAAAGGGAAATTCAGACAACTTGCAGCTGGGACGATGGAACATTGCATCCGGCGCTGCGTGGGTGGCTTTCTAATTTCAGTCTTTTCTGGGGGTGTTAAAAGCCATTAATCCCATGCATGCCGTTAACCCAGTGATCATGCCTCCAGTCACAATTCCGCCAATGTTAGCAATGACACATTGGATATCCCTCAGGGTACTTTGAGTTCTTTCTACCAATCACAAACTATTAAATATATCAGAGATGTGTACCTTTGTATCAAGTAATGACTGATCAAGAAAACTTTGATTTGAACCCAGGCAGTTGATCCTAACCATCTTGGTGATCGAGTGGACAGCCCATTTGTAGAGCCAATGATTTTCCGTTTCAAAAATGGGTATTTTCCGTTTCGCCAAATCCCAAATTCCGCTTAAGAAATTCAAACTTCGTTTCATACCTTTGTAAGCATGAAATAAGAGAGCAAGTTTTAAACTATGCATAGAGACCATTTACCCAACCACATCGCCCCCCCCCAAAAAAAGAAAGAAAAGAAACAAAAATTACAATAATATTTGGAAATACTCTGCAATGTTTCCAACTATTTTTTATAATTTCTGCAGTGAAAATTAAAAAAAAATCCAGACAACAAATACTGCACACTCCACCCTTTGATTTCCCACCGGCGCGGGATCGCCTAAAACTTGCTACGATTAATCAACGGACAACTCATGTGCCACTCCTCGTGTGTGAAATCAGATTACATACATGTACATGTACTGTACAGTGAAGTCAGGTCTTGCCTGTAACAGTTGTTGATCACAATATGTTAATGTTGGACATCGACCAGCCATTTTATTTGGCAGTAGTGCGACAAAATTCAGAAAGTTAACAATAAATCTGAGCCTTGAAATGTATGTTTGTGACTAAAAACTTCACTCTTTATTGAACACTTCTGACGGCCCATTCAGCTATGGTACAACAAGCTTACTGGGTTTCGTTTAATTCAAGAAATACGTAATTAGTCTTCCGTTTTGCTGCCGCGGTTTCATCGTTTTGCCATGCGGTACTAGCCTTGTCTCAAGCGTCGATGCGGATTCACAGATTAAATTCCCACATGTGCAATAGTCATATGTTGTGTGAGTAAGAACTTGTTTGTGCCTTGATTTCATTACTGGTACGGTGCGCGAGTGAATGGCCAATGTGTGTATACACAATGTACTGTACCTCGCCGCTGCGCTGTATCGGCTGCCGCTGCACGCATAGGGCTCACGCAAGCCATAGAGCTTACAAGTACCAGCACCGGCACGGTGCAGACGACACAATCATGTGTTGGAGTGGTGCAATTTAGCATGTTTCCAGTGTAATTCGTTCATTAAAAGCAAGCATTTGAAAAGGGTTGGGTAGGCATTTATTTTTCAGCACTTTTAATGATTAAGCCATTCTAAGAAGTTGCAAGTTCCAAGCAGAGGATTCCATTTCAAAGTGTTGATTCTGCAAATTCCGTCCGTTTTCAGCGATCACAGAAAATCATTGGCTCTACATTTGCACTAGTAAGCAGAAGGTCATACAGTACCCTAGGTTTGAGGTCTACCCTAGCAAATTTATGATTTCTTTCCCACAATTCTGCAGCACTGAACATACTGGTATAGTGTTTCCTAAATGACATGAGCTAGGGACAAACAAAATTACTGAGTGAAACTGAAATAAGCATATTAAAAGCCCTGTTTGAAAGACTTTCAATTTGCTTCAAACTCACTCTCCCATTCCAACAAAGACATCGGTAAATAAAGAAAAAATACTCTCGATGCAAGCCTGTTTGCCCATGAAATCCCTGCACTCTCAGTGTGGCCTCCAATAACGGTAAAAGCAATGTGCTAGTTACATGTACTACATGCAAATTACCTGGCCCCATGACGGTTTCTCTCAAATGCTGACCAAATGCTTCTCTCGTTAAAACTGTTAAAAACTGTTGAACTGGAACTCTAATTTCAAATTTGGAGCTTGTCTTGATACCAGTTGCTCTTCAACTACGCATGTGAACACTGAAAATCTCTAAAAAAAATTTATGAACAAAAAAGGCAGTCAAGTATTGGATCGTAACATACAAATTAAGTGGCCAGTAAATGTGTTTTTTAGCCATATTCATCTGTGCCTGTATAAAGGGTTTCTGATTCTGTCATATTTGATGTTTCAATATACCACCTTTCCAAAGATCTTCAGCACAGTCTTCTATGCATGACTGATGTGCTGACTTCATGGAAACACCTAAATGTTGTGCAAAAATTTTGCCAAACATGCCTCAAATTAAGCAAGGATTCCATCCCTGTGCAGGCAGGAAATGGTGGATTCCCTCATGATGAAAAACAAAAGACACCAGTGTGTGCAAGTTCCACAAAACCAGTTTGCCGAGCCCCTTAAAAGATGTTGCCCCAAACTGCTATAACACTACCCGGAGTTTTCTAACACTTTCCCCGGCTCAAGTATTCATGTATACTTTAACTTGCCACTACATGTACATTTCTTCATGCCAGCCCCTGAGCACTGCCACGGTATTGCGTCACAGCATCTGAGGTGCCCCTCTCACAGATTACGCAAATCCAATTGCGGTGGCAGGGTGCCATGGCAACCACTTAGCACACCAAGGAATGCATTCTCATCTTAATGTAACGCCGTTGGGTTGTCATGCACTTAAGACTCCTACCAGTCAAATTTATTAACTTCACACAACTTCCCAGGGGTTACTCATTAACTAAACGATAAATCTTTTTTTCTTCCTTTCTTTTCAGTGCCTAAAAAGTATTGAGGAAGGTCAAGTTCAGAAGGGCTGGCTGTGCCAATGACAGCCAAGGATTGTCTTCACAAGAATTTGTATCATGAAGTCATCCATTTCTGTTGGGTGAACTGCTGTGAGTGAACATTTAAGCCAAACGACCTCATCATGCAGATCCTCCTTCCTCCCCCATCCAAAAAAAACAAAAACAAACCAAGATGGCACTATTTAAAAAAACAACAGAATCCTGACGAGATTTCTTTGCAATAGAAATTTACTGAAATCGGATTCTAAAAAAAGAACTAAAAACTTACTGCACCGGTGCATGCAAAACCATTCTATCCAGTACATTGATTATTTATATTCTTGTAAACTACAAGTAAAGCTACCTGCAAACTAACAGACCTGCCTCCTCTTATCCCTTCCAGTACAATATCAGTTATCATTTTCTTTAGTTAAAATAGTATGCTACAACTTGGATGAATCAACACTTCCCCCCCCCAGGAAATTATTCCCACCACTTGACCACCCATTACATGAAATCTTGACAAGCAGTTTACATCCAAGCACTACCTTTCCCTGTAGCTGTTGACTGAAGGCACCGCAAATATGCATATTTCCACATTTCTGAGCAAATCAGCAGAGCCACAAATGAACCAGTTGGTATTGTGAAGTCAAGCAACGTGTGAAAGGGCATGCAGTGCGCATGACTGATTTCAATTTCGTATGGGCACACAACCGTTGAGTGCAGCCGTTTCTACTGCAAACTTCTGAGAAAGCGTACTGCGTGGGCCAGCATCCATCTTCTTACAGTGCACTTTCAATTCAGTGGGCAGTGCTTTGCAAATACAGTATGTGCAAAGTCTACAACCACAACAGTGTGGTTTTATGCAGTAATCATGATATATAGCCGTAGGGCACTGGGTAATTCTTTGTGTGGCATTGATTTTGTTGACCAGTAGGCCTACTCAAGGATAGAGACTCAAGCATGCACCACTGTGTGTGCATTAATCACAGCACTATTTAAGAAATACAAACTGCTTTGCATCCCAATCTGAATGTCTATTCCTTACTGAGGTAGGACAATGAGCATGAGGATAAAATCAGTGGTTATCATCTTTTGTCTGCCATAGGTCAGACTGGGCCTCACCTCAAACAGGTTCTCATCCTGATCAGTAAAGGTGGGGTTGAGAGCCGTCCCAATCTTGTTGATCATCTCTGCCACACCCACAATCTTGTTCTGGCTGTTGTAGATGGGCTGGCATAGCAGCGTGTGCAACTTGAAGTCCATGTCTACCTCAGCGACCAGCTTGAACTTGGACTGCATATCAAACTTCTCAATGTTGATGGTCTGAGAGGGCAGAAAGAGGGGCCAAAGCCATTTAGAGATGCAGACAAAGGAAATGAACAGGAAAGAGATGGAGGAAATCTGGACAATGATGAAGTGCAACTAGAATCATTTAAGACTGTAGGAAAACTTCAATCAGGTGACACTTGAACCTCAATCAGGTGACACTTGAACCTCAATCAGGTGACACTGACTGCTCTCTTCATATTTACCAAGGAGTGACAATCATGGTGCACTCACAGAAATAACAAATGGGTCAGAAAAAAATGGATTGCCGGAGAACCGTTTCAAAATAAGTTCCTACCATTTAACATATGCATCATAGGAAAAAAGTTTTTAACCATTCAGAAATCTTTTACTGTATTCAGAAATCTGTCAAATGAGTTAAATATGAATTACTAATGCTCAATTACCATTTTTGCTAATTATCCAGGGAAGCCACGAAAGTCAAAAATATGAAAATAATATACCAAAACAAACACAAAGAAAATATGTAGTTTTCTTTCTTACAAGGAACACTCAGCGTAATGATGCGTAATTTTTGCCTTTCAGTTGATGGTCCAACAATAATGTAGTGACCAATGAGATGGGAGTTATATTGTGAATGGCTTTGTCATAAAACCCTACTACAGCAGTTAAAATGCCGATTACTAACAGAACGACTCATGCTCCTCTTTAACAGTTGAAAATTGATTTCTTTTATGCACTTGATCAGTTACATAACAAAACAGACAGTTGCCAATGGAACATACACACAACAAAACTGGACTGAATGTTTTCCAAGATAGTCACATGCACTTTATGTACAGTCTCGTCACCGTCCAAACATTTCAGTCAGGAGAGACTGTCGAAAATAATGAGATTTCATCTGGCAAGTGCTATCAACATTAAACAGCTGGTGATAACATCAACACCCTCGGCATCTTCTCAAGAGAGTGTTAAAAAAAGGGAGGGACCTGCAGGGTTTTTGCATTCGTATTTCATGACAATTTTGCTGCCTCTCTGCACTGAGCTTACTGCAGCTTTTACAGCTCAGGCAGAATGCCCATTGCTCCTCACAGCTAAACGGTGCCGTTCCCTTACTATGCCACCAGTCAAGTCTGCTTTTGAAATGCCAACACAAAGAGATGCAGATAGGTTTTCCCCTGCAGTCAGGGCGATTCAATAATGGGGCGCGTGAGGCATGTTCAAGAAATGTTATATTAATGCCCGTCGGCACGTCCAGGACAATTTGTGCATGCTACAAAAGAGCCGTTCGACTGTCAGCGTTTCGCGGAGTCAACGGTGTACACATCTCATACATCATTCAGCAAATACTGTATTAATTTCAGCCCAGGAAATGTGAATTCCAGCTGGGGAAATATATATCGGAGTTAGACAAATGTGCCTTTCAACAAGGTCAGTTATTGCGATTGGCACAAACACACATGTACATGTACAAGAGTAACCAAGGCAAGGAAATAAACAGAAGTCCCTGTCGATTGAGCAAGACAAATACATCTTTGTTCTGTTTTGGATTTTTCCAGTTTAAATTATTTTTGTTGCTATAGTTATCATTGCTTTTGTATTTTCAGTGCTAGAAGCGAGTATTTCCAATTCCTAATTTTCATCCTCTGTCACAGCTGCTGGCATAAGCCAACCCCTCTCCATTAAATTCACGGAGTTACCCATGGATATAATTTCATCACCTTCATCATATTAGGGGAAACGTTATTTGATCAAGAGATATATTGAGGTTGTTGTCCCATTCCACTCCAAGTCCCTCTTCAAAGCTTTCTCTATGCAAGCAGGCATTTGCCATTTAATTGACAAAAACAATTTTCTCCAATCTCACATCTCTACATCATTCACTCCCTTTCAACCTGACACCCCCCCTCCACACACACCTACAAATGCTGTCAGACCCATTTTTTTCTGGGATTACCCTTTCACGTATTTCTTCTTCGCCTTCATTCCCCTCTTCATATCTACCGATACTGATCAGTAATACTGCCTAGACTCCCAACAAGTCCATCCATCTTAAACCAGAAGAAGATGGGGGGGGGAAAGAGGAGAAATTGCAGCTACTATCTGCAACAGCTAAGGGTCTGCCTAGCTGCGCGCCCCATACATGTGTGCGCGGACATCCACCTTCAATGTGCCGCTGCAGTACAATCTTCCTGTGCTTTAATTTCAGCCCCGGCTAATGCAATAATGCTTGGCGGAGACAAATTGTATAGATTGGTATCTTGTCTATAAGCCCCCCCCCCAACCTCTCTCCTTTTCTCTGTATTACCCTCCCTTGCTGATCTGTCAGATAGGTGATTTGGCCCACTGCACAGTGCAATGACTACAGTATAATGGAGGGGCCAGGCTACATATGGGCAGCCATATCCTACTCGTCACAACAGTCAAGTACCCTGTATTGCTGAAGAAATTCTGGCCAAATCTGGGTAGATTTGAATCCCATGCCAGCGTACAATTTGAACTCCTGTCACAAATAGCAAGCCCGGATGAGCTCTTCCATTACACAGTTGATGGCATTTCAAATAGAAATAGTTTCATCCTATTTTTCATTCATTTAAGATCTTTAAATTTATAGGATGCAATTAACCCTTACAGATGCAATAAAGAAAGACAACTGTTGCTACCGAAAAATGACGTAATGACTTTTCAAAGGTCAGAGCGCCCAGCTTCTTCAAAAGTTTAGCGCGTCTGACATGTTCGGTGAACGTACACACTCAATAGTGTGCGTACGCTGCCTGCATCATAGTGACTTGCAGCGGTGTCGGAGCTCCAAGGCAAGATTAACATTGCAAGAAGTTCTGCAGGAAACTGATGACAGTTATTCTGAAATTGAAGCTTTAGCTGATCTTGCAAGTGACACTGACGTTTCACAGGTAGTTATAGCGATGTTTAGAGACATTCTTGCGAACTAAAATGTGGCAAAGTACATCCAAAGTGACAACAAAAAACATCATGTTGACAATGGAGCTTTCAACATGTTCGATCATCACTAACAACACTAACAGCTGATCGGGACTTTTGATCCCTTGACTATCTTGACTTGTTGTAAACTTGACTTAATACTGTATAGTTCAGAGGTGTGGTTGTCCTTTTGTAGTGTTCATCTCATTGTGTTCTCGTGTCAATTTTCTTAGATTTTTGTCTAACAGCCTATTTTGATTTGGCTCAACATGTCCAGCCTTTAGGGGATGGGAGGCAAAATGGAATTGGGAAAAATACACCTGCGACAGAATGCCATCCTGCCCCCCCCCAAAGAATGCAGTTTTCTTTTTTCTAGAATTCTTATGCTTTCAATTTCTTTCACTTCATCTCAACAACACTGACCTCCCTTTGGTTATCACTGAATATGCTGTTGGTTTTCATCAAATTTTTTTTTTCTGTGACACCTGACCTGCATTTTTCGAAGTAACTGTGTTCTACCATTCTTGCAGACTTCCCCCCCCTACCTACCCACTCAGTTTCAGCTGAAGAGAGATTACTGGTCATGTACATGTATATATCACTGAATTTTTAAAGTGTATTCTGAAGGAACATGCTGTTTAGGAAACAAAATTACGTGTATTTCGAAGTCGTCCAAATACCGGAATATAAACTGTCCATAAACTTTTCAAATCATAATGTCTTCTTGCAAATGTTCCTGCAGCAGTAACATGAACTGAATATCGATACTGATGGTGGATTGAGTTTTGATGGGATAGAAAAAATTGTTTTATTACATGTATCTTCCTTGAAAATATGACAGGGTTCCAAGCAAATGATAGGTAACACACAAAAATATGGTCAAGTACTATCATCTCCATATGCTTTATGAGGTTTCAATTACCTTCTTCATTGCTAGAACTTCACAGGGATTAGTGTCGCTTTTATAGGCACATGCTCACTCAAACACTCAATTTTACAAAACTGTTTTATGTTTCTTTCTAATTACATTCAGGGTTTTGGCTTGGCTTTCTATTGTTTTCTGGTTGTTTGGGTGATTTTTTTTGGGGGGGGGGAATATTTTCTCCTATCTACAGAAGTTCTTTATTTGTAAATACATGTAAATCCTGAAGAGCAGAAAAATGTGGCAGTGCTTGGGTTTGAAAAGGAAATCAGCATGTTTATGTGCGGGCCTACCTAGAAGCATTTTTTTCTTGAAACCACTGACGGCATTGTTGGCAGATCGGGCAAGATTTTATTTTCCTTATTGTCGTTTCACAGCCACATAAGTTCAGTATTGTTTTGATCAGGGCTTATGACCAGTCATGGCTGTTGTTAAATGAGAGTACCCCTTCCTTGAATTCATTACAATACTGTTTTGTTATTTATCTGACGTGCATTGCAACACTCATAATTTCGCAGTCTAAGAAAAACTGGTAGTTTATAGATGAATAGCAGTGATGATGAAGTAGGGGATGCTAGAGATCAAGGCCATGCTGGTGGAAGTCCTTGTAACATAGGCCGCGGACGCAGAGGCAGAGGTGGGAGAGCTCGAAGAGACAGAGGCCGTAGTTGCAGAGGCCTTGGTGGAGGTCCCAATATACTGGTAGCTCCTCCACCTGGATGGACAGATACACTGTCTCCTCCAGTGACTCATGCTTTGAAAGAAGAGACAGGACCCAAGTTCAACATATCCTTCAGTGACCCTGAGCTTGAATTTCTGAAGTGCCTCATTGGTGAGGATATTTTGGCCACACTTGCACACAACACAAACATCAATGCCGTGTGCAGAAGTCTTCTAAACATCCCAAACGCAGAGGATGAGTATGTAACATCTGATAAGTACCGAACCCAACAGATGCTGAAAGCCTTTGTTGGCATCAACATCCTGATGGGGATCAAGCAGTCACCTGAATACAATTGAATGACAGCTACAGTTCATCACTCATGCTTAAGAACAGATATGAGAAGCTGTCTCAGTACTTTCACTGCAGCAATCCTTCTGATCCGAATGACATCAATGATCACTTTTTATAATGTGTGAAATTTTGCAGATAAACTTGCAAACACCTTCCCAAAGATGTTCAATCCAGGCAAGTGTCTGTCTATCGATGAAGTAAAGACAAAATCAAATAGACGGCTTCTCTGGAAGCAATATATGCCCAAAAAGCCAACAAAATGGGAGATCAAGCTTTGGTTTCTATGTGATTCCATAAGTGGGTACTGCCTTTAGTTCGAGTGTACACAGGCTGTAAGGGACTGGCATTACACTCCTGCAAGGGAACTTAGGGAGAATTATATTCTCAGGTACCACCACCAGTTTATTGATTACTTCTTCTCATCTATTTCCCGTGTTGAGGATCTTTTCAAAGCAGATACATACCGGTACTACTGTGGTACGCTAAGGAAATATATGGCCGGTGTGCCAGAAAAGATTCATCACTCCACGCTTCTTAGATATAACAGCATCAAGTTGCAGAAGGAAGATTCACAGATAACCATAATCAATTGGAACCGACCATAGAAAGCCACGCACCAAGTTCCATCAGGAGGAGATGATCACAGTACCATCAATGATAACAGATTATAATGTCAATGTGGGGGTGTCGACCATAGTGATCAGCTTTGGGCTTACTACCAAGTTGGCCACACTGGAAGAAAGTGGTAGAAGTACCTATTTTGGGGACTTTTCAACCAAGCTCCTGTAAATGAATACATCTTGTGGGAAATCACATCAAGGCTGCGCAATAAGCAGCAATGACAGTGGTCCTTGAAGTCCTTCAAAACAGCCATTGTACATGTACATCAATTGACACAAAGCTACTCATCCAGGAAGAGAGCATCAGTGGGACTTAACAAACGGCGACCCCTAGCGACCATACTGAATCCCCAAGCTGGACAAGGCCACACTCTCATTCAATTTGGGGACAGAAAGAAGAACAACCCCAGGAGGCCTGGCAGTTTAGACAACTTTCTCGGTTGCTCGGTGTGTTCAGTGAATCTGTGCCGTGTTGGCTGTTTCCTATGGTGGCACAACAAAGTGATGCAGTAATCGGTAGGTGGGCCTAATACTGCATGCAGTGCATTCCAGAACAGGTACATGTATTTATTTACAAGATGTTTTCATTTATCTTATTCTCAAATGTACACCGTTCTCTTTTGAAGTATTCATTTATGGATGCCTGTATCATTTCCAAGCAAAAACAGAAAGTATCTCATCTACTTCAATGGAATTTCAATGGAAGTGAAATTTTGAATAGAGAGTCATAGTTCAAAGCGAAGGTCACCGTTCAGCATCCAGCACCCATGAAACAGGACTGTGATGAGTTGACACACAATATTACATTTGCAGGGTTGTTTGTTAAAAATTTAAATGTGATTGTAATACATGTTTCTCGATCTTTTTTAGGTAAATCTCTGTAATTCCTTTCTTCAAGGGTCAAAGGTCACTGTAGAGCTCACCATCTAGCAAGGTACATGCGCAGGACTGCAGAGATGTTCGAAATGATTTAAAACCTGGATCAAAAGCCTGTGCATAGGACTTGTTTTTTTCATATATTTCAGTCATTTTGCTTGATTTGTATATTTCTGCCTTGAGGTCAAAGGTCACAAAGGTCAAGTTGCTGTAAATGACCTGGATGACCTTGTGCCAAAACAAATTCCAGTCAAAAACTTATCAAGATACTTCTACTGCTTTAGTATTTCAAAGCATTTCTTGGATGTAGAAGTTAAAGGTCACATGATGTCATCATAATAACAATATTGATAATTCTTATTCTGACAAAACGTTACCAACAAGCTTTTGTATGTATATTTGATGGTTGATATCATTCAAAGGAAAATGCATTTTTCTGTATACAATCCCCCCCCCTTTTTAACTTTTCCTCATTTTAAAAGGTCAAAGGTCATGCATATAGGGGTCAAATGAAGAAACAAGTCAATTGCTGGAAAGAGTTTTTTATACCCTTAGAAATAAATCAAACTTGCTGTACAGTAAAGTGAACAGGAAGAGCAGTATTTTCCGATGTCTGAGGGATGTTGCATACCAATGTGTTTTTCACAATATTCTCCAGTGAGCAGATGGCAATATACTGTGCATGTATATGTACAGGTGCTTATGGGGTAACCTCAGAAGCAAACGTAATTAATCACATTGCCCTTGGGAGGTGTGAACAGTATGGGTACAGTACTGTCAGTGTTCGAAAACGGAAAAACAAACAAACAAATTAAAAAAAAAAAATTTGAAAGAAAAAAGTACTTTCAGTGGAAGCTCACCTTTCCTGTCAGTGCCACGTATTTAGCAATCTCAGAGTACACAGACTTGTTCAGCGAGTCATCACTGAAATAGGAGGAAAATTGAAAAGAAAAAAGTTAGTTGTAAACAAGATGGCAAAGGCAAAAATCAAACCTGTCCAAGGTATTACAAGTGATGAAGTTATCTTCTCAATTCTGTGCATGGGGAGGTTCGTGGTTCCTCAATACAATGGACCTGTCCACACGTACCACGCAGCTTTATACGATGGATCCCCTAATAGGTTTTTAATTAAAAACGTTCAATCTTCCAGTGCAACACCACAGAACAGAATATCATAACATTCTTCAAAACATACTATTTTGGTGGAGGATATATTTGACACACCACATAAATTTGCATTGAAGGCTCTAATAGGCTCTTTCTGTGTGTTTTGTTTTGCTGTTGTTTTAGTACTATGGGGAAGGTATCAAGCAAATGATTTTCGTGAAGTTGGCAACATGGGTTTGGGACGTAGAAATAAGCCTGGCTTCACATTTGACTAGTGCACTGACAATGGCATTGAAGGCCTGAAAGTCTTATGTCAAAATTGGCCCAATTGCTTCTTCACTTATTCTTAAGAAAAATAGGCTTAAGGCCAGGTAATACTTCGGGCGAATGTGAAAGCGAAGCGAATTTGCTTGAGTTGAGATGTGTTTTCAACGTCTGTGAATTTGCAGCGTGAATCCTAAACCTCACATCAATATCAATTGGCATTCATATTCGTTTTTGCACAAAGTATGAAACAGTTTTTAGTTTTTGTATCTTAACAGCTAAATGTTATGGACCATATTCATGCCATTTTCAGATCACATTCCCTGAATTTATCTTATTCAATATTCTCTGTCAAATGGGGTGATGCCAGATTTTTTTGGATTTCAAAATTTTTAAATGTTGTTCAAAGCATTTAGATATAGTAATTTACGAATTTTAACCATGCATCAATTGTTATGAAATTAATTTGTTTTTATTTAATTAGGCTTTCATTTTTATTATTCGGCTCTCAAAATAAAGCAGTTAACCTCACTTTTGATTCCGTTGACTTGCTGACTTGTGAACACTGTCAATTCATGGAGACTGGTATTGCATACAGCCAAGCGCTCAGGCTGAGACACATTTGTTCTAATGATTCAGATTTCTCCCATCATACACAGGAACTGAAGAGGCATTTGATTGCAAGGGGGCACACCTGTCACCAGGTTCAACGCTCTATCAATAGGGCCCGCTCCCTCCCTAGAAGTCTTGCACTCAAGGATAAGACCCCCCATGACAAAACGACGCCCAGGGTTCCCTTAGTCACCACTTTCCATCCTGGTCTTCCTCCCCTCCGCAAAAAAATCAACGACAATCATCATATCCTCCACACTTCCGACCCCCTGGCCAGTGCCATCCCAAACACCCTGCTTGTGGCCTAGAGGCATCCCCGCAACCTACGAGACCTTATCGTTTGGGCAGAAGTGCCCCCTTTGGATACCCTTCCCCCCTCCCAGCAAGGCACCTTCAAGTGTGATTCTAACAGATGTGTCGTTTGCCAGAACCATGTCCTGGAATCAGATTCATTCTCTGGACACTCCTCCGGTACCACAGACAGAACTAAAGGCACTATCACTTGTAGCTCTTCTAATGTCATAATATCTTATCTCTTGCAGGGTGTGCAGTGTTCAGTATGTTGGAGAGACTAAGAACACTCTCAAGAAGCATTTCTACGGCTGCAGATCTACAGTAAACACAAAATGACTAGATACCCCTGTGGGCCACCACTTCAACCTTCCTAACCATTCTATGTCTGACATGATCTCACAGGGCACAGAATCACTTGGGTTCCGTAAAGATGCTGATCGCTTCAACAGGGAGAAGCTTTGGATCAAACGCCTCTGCACCATACAACCCCGCCGCCTGAACATCCAAGAGGGAAACTACTCATTAACCCTCTTTTCTTTCCCCCTCTTTTGTCTGCAGATTAACCCCCTCCCACTTGGGGTCCAGTTCCATCCTTTGTAGTTTTTCTTTGATCTCTACCCATCTTACATTCCTTTGTTGTTCAACCATGCCTTTCATGCAGATTCTGCATGATTCTTTTTTCGAATGGAAGAAACACTTAAGATTTGAAATGCTTTTGTGCATATAGAAAAGACCCACCTGCTTTTTTGTTCAATTCCTCATCCACAGTTCCCCTGAATCACTGAGGAAATTCATATTGCTTTAATTTAAAAGTAATTTTGAAACTGAAGTTTGAATGATGACTACGGCATATTTCTTGGTACCAAAAACTAAACTGGTTCTCTGGGTTTATGGCGCACATTCAGTGGCCGATCAAGTACCGCTGGTATATTACAAAGTCTGCTCTCGCTCCGTTGTCAATCCTGACATAAAGTAATTTTCATTCGTATTGTTTTATATGACAAAAATACTCTTAACTCAAACATAAACAGTAAGCACTACCACCTTCACACAAAAGTCATTTAGGCCGACAGGGTTTGAAAGTTACAAATATAGTCATGCAAGTGTACATCAACAGTGCTTCCACCTCAGAAGACAAAATTCCCCCAAATCTAGCCTCATCCCTCAGAAAGGCCATAAAAGGTTATCCCCCCCCCTTCATCCTGGTTACCCTGAAATTAGGTCCTTGATCTGCCCTTGCATCCCGTGCACTTCTTGATACATGTACATTTGGTTTCATTCTAATTTCTGTTCATTCCCTTGGATGTTCCAACCTAACACCCTGCAATGAAAGAATACCAAATTTGGATTCTACACATGCAGGGGACACACAACTTCATTTTCTCTCAGAGAGATGGTTTGCGGGGACACCACATAGAAATCAATTTCTATAACAGTGGTTGTTCTGAGAAGAATCGGTGAGTGAAGACTCAATGTTTGGAATTTTGAACTTGACGTCCTCCCGAGGACGTCCAGAGCATCCTGGTTGAAATGTCCAATTCACACCACTCTGACAGAATAGACGATTCTACATGATATACTCACAAACTATCTCTCTGTATAACCTCCACCATGCAAAGCCTAAATCTTATTCATTTATTTCAGTTACCTTATATGATTATGCAACAAAGATTTTTCCCATTTAAGTAATGCTGCTGTTGATGTTAATCTCAATCGGTAGTGCGATTGATTGCTCCTGATACATGTATATTTGCAATGTTATCTGTCGTTTCACTTTCCCCCTCCCCCTCGACCAAGTCTGGTGTCTACCAATGGTAGGCCTACATGTAGTTTCAAGTAAGAATGCAAGTTACAGATAGGATCATCCTTACTGCATTTTGTTTTGGCTGTTGGGGAAGTCAATTAATCGTCACAAATGTCAAGTGGCCTGTTGTCACACTTATTTCACATCTGCACCAAAAGAACTTCAACAGAAAATGTAGACCACTGCAGTTCTGTTTTCTCCGGAGCACATCTAGTCACAGTCACTTATTACGATGCAGAACTTTAACAGAGAAATCAAAGCAATCTACACTCTCTTTTTACCATGTGAACTGTGGATTCCTTTCTGCACTGGTGCCAGCATCTCTGACACAGTTCCCTCTGTCAAGACAGTGACTCTACTGCAAGAATAATTGAACTCTTGGAAATTGATTTTTCGTTTACTGCATTTGCATTCCTGTAACAACCTACAGATAGTAGTTGCAATATACTTTTAATATTTCTATCTTCTGCTGACAAAGAGTGATGTGCTGAGAAGGCTGGGAACAAGACAATGCGGTGTCTGGAAATTCTCAGCTGGTCCCAAAGGGGGAACCCTGCTAATACATGAATTGCAAATACTTCATCACTTAGGTTCATTTGGGCCCATGCGGTGGAACCAAACTGTGATGCTGTCTGGCAGGTGTTGTTTCCCCCCTGCATCTCGATCGAAATGCACACAAATTCTGTAGCAGGAAATTGCTTGTAGATGACACTCTAATCCAAAAATATCAAAGGGTAGTTCAGATGGGGGGGTCGACAAGAAAGTCTGGCTCATCATCTTGCATCTGAAGTATACACATGATGGTGAAAAGTTCCAACTGATTTCCACTTCTATATTTTCAGGAGACGTGCTTTCAGCAAACAAACCTCCATGGAATCAGGTCATTGTAGTGAGGAAACAATCAGTTTTGATATATCTTACCGGTACTGCTCATTTCTTATTGCTCAGTACCCCGTAGTACAATACATATTTACATACATGTAAAATGGCATTTTTCTGGAAGTGTTTAATTACATCGTGTGAAATAATTAATTCCTCTAGCATACATGTACATGTTTTTTAAATCATCTGCATAATGACTACACCTTCAGGAGACTTTTTATGGTTTCAACCTAGTGTACATGAATTCCCTTCAATACTGGGGTGAGGTACCCATGGCAGCCAGGGTTCCAGTGTTTACAACTGGGGCCAGTGAAGTTCATGTTAATCCTACTGGTACTTGGCAGTTTCAAGTTGTGCCAGGGCAAACTGAGAAACTGAATGCAAATATCAAACCAGAGAGAAACCCAGGACAAGATACCTTTGATCTCATTTTCATTTGACCGATACATGGCATTTATAGATTAATAATTTTAGGTGCACGGACATACATTTAAGAATGTCAAGTAGTTTTCATATACGAACAAGAGCACGTATGAAGATGCACAAAAAGTGAAAGAAACTGTTATCACGTGGAGACTTTAAAGCTGGGCTCTGGAGATCGTTAATTTCTGCTAGTTTTCTTGTTTTCCTGTCTTACCATGCTTACCTTGCATAAATAACTTCATTGATAAAAAAAGAGAAAAATACCGTCGAAACTCGCAATTTGAAAGCCCCGCGTTGCGAAGAATCGAAAAAAAGACGATGACGTCATAATCATATGCAGTGACCTCTGTGACGCGTAGTCTGGGAGACGAAGACCCTTAGCGCTTGCAGCAGGCACGTTGCGCATATACAGCATACAGGCACACACATCATGCATACGTTTGGTTTTTGCGAACACGTCCTATACCTCTAACTTTTTGTTGTGTCGCTGTTAGTGAAAATATTTTAGTTGGTCTATAATCAAGATATTTTAGGCTTT